TGATTGAACCGCGATATTGTAGCTTCATTCGATGTGAGAAAAAATATGTCTACTCGCATATTTTTCGTTTGATTATTTTGGTTTTGATTTATAGCCGAATATCAAAAGTATCATGAAATTTTCTCCGGTGAACTTGAAAACTCACTCACTCAAAAGCGTGTTTTTTTAACGAATGTATATAATTTACTTTACACACGCGAGTTTGTAAAATGGTGAAAGAAAAAGCAAGTTTCGTTGTGTTTTTTTAAAAAGGTGTTTATTTCCATCAAAACATCAATCATTAACCACGACAACACTCAACAATTTTTAACTAACCAAGCCGTATTTTCGTCACTCAAATGTTATCTGAAATTCGCATGAATACGGATTAGGGAACCAATTATATTTAACTGGCGGTTCTATAAATTCCGTTTGATAAAAAAGGAAGCGGTCCTGTCACGGGAAAAATCTGCGGGAAAAAATGAACCGTGATCGTTTCTCGATATGAGCGGCCTGTTGTTTGGACATTCTTACAATTTTAAATTAGTGCCACGATAAACGATCTGTCGGGGACTTTGGGTCCTTTCTCGATGGATCAAGGTTTTTGTCGCTGGTCCAGCTCGAATATCGGCAAACTTTTTGTGTATCGATTGGTCAAGCAATAAGAAAAGTTTGTTCTAAGACGCGAATTGTTTCGATAGTTATATTAAAAAAAAACAATAGAAAACCGATGGCGTAGAACAAATAAGAACAAAACACTTTTTGGATATTTTTGAAGGGTAGATCAGTCCATTCTCAGTAAGAATCTTATAAAATATTTTTCCATTTCTCTAGATGAACAAAAGTGTAAATAAAAACGTCTACGACCCGCAAGGTGTTTAGATGAAAATAAGACAGTCTAAGTACTTCTGTTATAAAGTCGCAAAAAACTGAAAAATGCGTGGGTGCCATAAAAAAATGATTTGGTTAATTTTAATTGAAAAATATTACTCATTTCGTTCAAAAGTCATAGTGGATGGTGTACAAACTATCAAATGTTAGGTTGTTTAATAGATGAAGATATCGGATATGTTGCATACCATGCATAACCTCATGAACTATAATTAAATTATTATAAAAGCTATATGTAATGTCGAGTGTTTTGTTACTATTTACTATCGTTTTTTTTTTCGTGATAGTGGCCATTGAAAAATTAATTAACCAGAACAGTTTGAAATTCTACACTTTCCTGCACTAAATTAACCAAGCATCGTTGGTTAGTTGACATACTAGTGGCTAGTGCATTAATTTTCTCTGTTTTTGTACTTTGACGGTAAATTGATATTGAGTGGACAACGTCTTCTCGAAATGTAAATTTAAAAAGCACTAGCCAAGCTTTCTTATAAGGATGGACAGCTTGGAAAAAATTGACATCGTTCCATTGGTTTACTTTATCAATTTAAATTCACGTTCTAGTTAAAATCGGATTCAAATTTTTTTGACAAAAATACGGACATGTGACTTGACAATTTATTCATGTTAATAAATTTTAATCCTTCGTCAATTCGCAGATTGTTTTAATTTTTTATATATCTTCAATTTACATTGTAGTTAATATCAGATTCAAAGTTTAAGTACGAACGCCTGACTTGACAATTAACTCATTAATTTTATTATAAACAATTTTAAGCATTCGTCAATCCACAGAATGTTTGTTTTTTCATATACATTTTAAATTTATATTGTAGATAAAATCAGATTAAAAATTTAATTAAGAAAATACGAACACGTGAATTGACAATTAAATCATATTAAACAATTTCAAGTTAGAATGTTTTTTTTTCATATATATTTTTAAATTTGCATTGTAGGTAAGATGGACCTACAATATGAAAAGACAATAGTTAAGATTTGATTTAAAACACGTGACATGATAATTGATAAATGTTTTAGATTAAAAATAGCTAAAAAAATACGAACACGCGACTTGACAATTAAGTCGGATGAAAAAGATTTGGACTTTCATCAGTAAACAAAATATTTTAAATTTGCATCGTGGATTAGAGGGACGTATAATATAAAACAAGAATAGTTAAAGTTTGACCCAAAATTTAAATATATAAAATAAATAAATAAATAAAACTTAAACACAAAGTTTTAGGTATCCGTCGGTTCGCAGAATGTTTCGATTTTATTTTATTTTGAATTTCAATCCAGTTTTCTGAGAAACTACCCATACATTTTTCAAAAAATTAATTTGCCTTTTGACGTATAGCGCATTGAACACTAACGGGAGATCGATACATTTTTCAGGCACGCTTCGACCGACATAACGCAATAAGAAAAAGAAACGGATAGGAATCCGAACCATCCTAGGAATATGTGGTTCCTGCGGTTGATTACCTCCTTGGTACCGCTAATTAAATTTCTATGATTGATGGCGTTCCCTCGGACTGATCCCGAATCATTTTCATTTCGATTGTTGTCCTTTTTTTATTTACGGCATGTTTGATGTTTAAATTAGTAACGACGATAATAATAAATCGGTAATACGTCCTCCACCGGAAAGATGGACGATAATTAATTTTGTTTGTACCATTAGAACGCATTCAAAGGGGCGATTCATCATCGACCTGCGCGATGGCGTCGAAACTTGTAGCAATTTATTTTTTCTTTATCACTTGCGATATTTATTTAGACCGCCAATATCATTAGTATGATTTTTATCTTGGAGAAATCCAAATATTAGATATATAAACATTAGTCAGTAAGAATTAAAAAAAAAAAAAATTCCGTCCTTATAAAATACAACTTGCAGATATTAAAATGTAATGCGGTTTTCGAAAAATTTTTGGGACGTTTATCTAAAAGGTTATTCAAACGCATTTGATACCACAAATCATTCATTTTTGGCGTCTGAACTAAAAAATTATAGCCTTCTTATAAGTTCATAGGCTTTAGTCTATGCAGTGTAATAATAATTTATTTACATATTACTACCTAACGTTTTTTTTTGGAATTAATTTGACTAATATAAAGTTTTGGCCACCCTGTAGTAAAACTTTTATAATTGAGATATAAATTGTGACTTACGTTGTACCGTAGATTGGCTTATATAACTTAAATACTTCTTGTGTGTTTTAAGGATATGTAACACTACTGAGACAACTTGTAATTAAAAGTAAAACTTTTACTTTTATGTATGGGTTCTGAGCACAAGTACGTTGACTTTTGTAATCGGACAACAAAGAATTTTTATAAATATTTTGTAAACAATAGAATACAGTACTGCCAAACACTTGAAATGTTGGCAACGGTATATGGTGAGTCTACTTCAAGTTTGTTTGTTTACTATTTTCTTTGATTATCGTGGTGCAGATATGCGCCATGGATTTGGCATCACGATGATGCACCTGCTCACGCATCGTTGCTTGTCTCTAACTTTTTGGCCAAAAACAAAACCACAATCATGCCTCAGCCACCATATTCACCAGATATGGCCCCCAGAGACTTTTTCCTGTTTCCTGAGTTTAGTTATCTTTCCAAAGAGGATATAAAAGACGCAATTCGGATATTGATGTGAGAGTAGAATTTCGAGAAAAGTTTTTTCAGTGGAGGCAAGCTGAAGTGAGTCCAGACAAACGTATTTAAAAATCTCCGCGTTTCATCTGATCCCGTCATAACCAGTTTAGGAAAAAAAACCGAAGCTAAAAGCTGAAATTTTACTTCGAAAGCTTCGACAATCATGTTCACGAAATTGTTTCAGCTCCGAGAGTGAATCTGATCGTTGTTTTGTTTCTTATTAAAATTAAATTGTTGTGGGTAGATGGCGTTCTTGGTGTAGTTAAAAATAGTTGTATTATGATTTCGCGAAAAAGTATTTTTTAAAAATTGAAATCCACGTTTGTAAGGGTCTTTAAACATAAGATTTTTTAATTATGAAAAGCAAAAAGTTGAAAAAATTAAAATTAAGGGGAGAAGGTTTGGTTCCAGATTCTCTGATATTCAGGAATAGCCACTTTGGTAAAGAGGGATTCTACGTCGCAACTAACTAGAACTGTCAATTTTCCCTGTAAAGGGTTTTAATAATGAAGTTATATATTTTGCTAGAGAATATGTGGGAGAACCAATGGTGCAGAAGGAGTAATCCTGGTTTGTGGATCTTTGTCACGGAGTCTGAGCCTTAATGACGAATTTAAGATTGCGTTCCATGAACGTCGATACGCAGGAGGAGTCCGGAAGTTTTGGTAAAAAGGTTTTACGGTAGCATGTGGAGGTTTCTTTGAAAAATTACAATGTCACTGAGATTATCTCAAAAGAATCGGAAATTTATTATAAAAACAACAACGATTTTCAGTCGAAAGCGATATACTCGAACCAAAGACATTTTCTTTGTAACAAGGGAACAAACAGCAAACAGAAATAGTATTTATATAAAAGTACTCAATAGGGAAAATCAATCGTTTCTCGTCGTTTCGGATCCCTGCCCGCACGGTGCGTTCGATTTTGGCGTCTCAGAATTCTTCGGCATAAACCGAAGTCCCTGCAAACTGTGGCCTTTGTGTCGTTCTCTGCTCCCGCCGCGAGTCGTGTCCAATCAATTTTCCACGTTTGTGTTCGCTCCGGACAATGGGAAATTTAAATGCGTCGCGTCTTATTTATAAGTACGGCCGATTTGTTGACCCTTACGTACGGCATTGCGTGACGCACGTCAACCTCGCATCCGCCTTGATGACGTACGACCGGACCGTTCGGAGAACTGTGGTTGCCGCTCGAAGAGACGAAAACCTACTTAAACATCACTTAAACATCTCATATATCATCCATAGAGACAAAGAGAACTTTTTTTCTCGCCGCCTGCAAAATTTAATGTAATGATTATCTTAAAAAAAAAACAAATACAAAACGGAGGCAACAAAATTGTTTGACTTATCAAATCAACAACATTGAGCCATAAACAAATATCCTACCCCTAATTGCAAAAAATTCAAAACAGCTGTTGCAGATTTATTTTCGGCTCGCGTAAATTTAATAGGATTTCCCACAAAATGGTGGTAGTATTTTCGTCCCCGTTTATCATCGCTTCTTTTCTGTGGTGGCCCGTGGACAAGTTCGTATATATCAACCCACTGAATCCATTTTCCAAATTTACCGATCGTTCAGGCGAGCGGTCCCTTCGATCCAACGTTTCCATGGCGTCGTAGTGTCAGGCAAACGTCGAAATCGAACCGAAGCGTTCCGGCATGGCGCCGGACGACGAAGAACCTTCCAACGTTCCGGAGTCGGACGTCCCACCGAGGGAACCCCATCCGCTGGACGAACTGACTGACCAGCAGGTGATCGATTTGGTTAGCGACTTGGAGATGGAAAACGCCCACCTCCGGCTCGAGAACACGCTGTTCGAGAACTTCCTCCAAGAAAACGACCCGTCTCTCTTGGAGGACGTGGAGGACGTAATGAAGCAGCTGTCCGCCGAGTCCCCTCTACCCAAGTTAAAAGTCGACTCCTACACGAGCCTGTCGTCCATCGTCGAGGGCAAGGGCCCGAAGATCAACCTGTCGCAGAAGACGGAGATGGCGACGCGCGCCATGGATGATTCGCAGTCTAGGTTGCAAAACTTCCTGAAGAAAACCCATATAATCAAACGGAATTTAAAATCGGAACTCGAAGAGTTCGCCATCAGGGAGGCAGAGATCAGGGAGGCCGTCGACATATTCGAATTCAGCGTGGTTACCCAGGGTTGCGATAGGCTGACGCACAGGATCCCCGCAGAGAAGTTCGTCAGGTACATGGAGGAATGGCTGAAGAGCGCGCAGCTGCAGATCGAGAAGCTCCGGCTCCGGATCGCCACGCTCAAGGTGTGTTACGGTTCAATTTTTACGCGAGATATAATAAGCATTCTTATTTCACAACAGAAAAACATCGATACAATAGGAAATGGAAATCACCACCCTTTTTCGAAATTTTATTCCAAAATTTCCATAATAATATAGATGTAGAAACCGGACAGGGTCCCCTTGGAGGCACCGTTTCCTGCCTTGGGTCATTCCGAACTCCAAGATTTCCATGTGATTTGTTGTCTAGAGTAAGATAAATGTAGGTGATGGGGATCACTTAAGCTAGCTTTTTATAAACTTTACTTACTTAACTATCGATTGAGATCAACTTTAATCACTTTGGTTAATAAAAGAAATGAAAAATAAAACGTTTGATTACGATTGTCAACACCGGTTGGTGATGGCGATCAACAAATATCGCACACAAAATTCGCAGAATCCCATCCGCTACAGTCGGCATGATCCCAGAGCCCACAAGAAGTGCAACGGTACCATGTTTCATTGTTTCGTCCAAATTCACCACATACAAGACACAAGTTGTTTGCATCTTCTGCGTCGTCATTTTCGTCATCCTGGCATGACTGATCCGTATTCGGGTCTGATGTCGATGTGTTGTCATTACAGTCCTGCAGAATTTTCTTAACTTTCTCACGACTGGTCTTCTGTGGCTTGCTATGGTGTCTTCGACCCGTGTAGATGTTAAAATCGTAGCCTGCTGTTTTTTTCTTCCTTGTCTTGAACACTTGACAGTTCCTTAGATGTTGATAGTATGTCAAAATTAAACAACGATGCAGTCGCTGGTTCAGAAGTAGCGGGACGGAATGCATTCGTAATATTTTGTTCCAACTCAATAGGAGCTGCTAGGGATCATACGGAGACAACATGAATAAATCGCACTTTTCTATATGCAGCCTTGAATGGAATAAACAAATTTAGTAGCTGCATGCGATGGGATGAATGGGGTGGAAGAGATAGCATATGGACATTGTTGTCCTTATGATACTCAAAGGTTGCCAGAGCAATGTGGTTTGTATGATTATCCAAGACTAATAGGACTGGTTCCTCTGCAGAGGGTTTCAGATAGTCGATGAAGTGCTTAAGCCATTGAAGGAGCCACATATCTACCTGCAGCACTCATTGCGTAAAGCATAGTGATATTCTTACCCCTTTTCCAACTAGTTATGGACCCTACTCTCTTTTGTCCCGTTGCAGCTAATATTTTTCCAGGATCTTATTTTGAGGTGATCACCATTGCCAACTAACTCCCATTGCCTACATTTCTACATTACTACTAAGCTGCATGTTGAATCAACGGTTTTTACTGCCATTGTGACCTTGCGAACTCTTCGGAGCTTCTTAAGTCCAACACGCATGATACAAGATTTCATTGAGGCAGCAGATTCACTCCCCTTATTGATCGATCCACATGGAGTTATGCTATAATGATGACCCTCGTAATTTTTTGTCTGGTGTGCGTGGGACGAATTGAGTGCATAAAAGGAGACGATGGAACGTCCCCCCTTATCAGATGGCGCGTGTATAGTGAGCGAGCGAAAATTCTCGTACTTTTGGCTTTCCAGGAATGAAATCAGCTCTTGTTGAGAAACTCTTTTCTGTTCACAACACAAGGAGAGCAGATAAGCAATTCGTTTAATTTTAGGCGCGTCTGTGTTGTTTCCTTTTTTCCCTAATGTGATATAATTTACTAAACTTTCCGTGCTGCGCCTAGCCAAAATCACTTGTATTTTTCTTTTATTCAAATTTGTTTTTTATTAGTATTCTTTTTAAAATGTTAGTATCCCCGGCGACGTCCACTCGGCTCTGATAAATCTGGCCGTTTTCCGACGTTAATAAACCAAAGGTCCCCGAACGTTTCTTTTTTTTGTTTTTTTTTTCCTTTTACCACCCACATCTACCTATCTCTACATTTTTATGCTTTTTTTATATTAGTTGAATAATTGCTATAGTTGTTTGTGTTTCTACAGTCGGTCAAAAAAGTCTTGCTACACATAGTATTTTTTCAGTTTTCTTTTGGTTTCTTCTTTCACTTACATTTAGTGAGAAATATATTTCAAGTAAATATGGGTTATCTCATAAAGAGTAATTAAAATAAATTAAAAAATCATTTGAAACACTCTTCTCTTATCCTATTTTTGAGGTCTTCTTTACTCCTAACTTGATGCTTTTTCCTTCCGCTTTTTGAGAACTCTTGATTTGTTACATACTGTACAGATGAATGTGATTTTTTAATTATTTTACCAATATCTCTACAGGATTTTTTCTCTTTCCATAAATGTACACTATGAAGCGCAATTGGAATTTCGCAATTGTTAGCGCCCATTTTGCTTTTACTTCAAAACCACTGAAAAGTGGCGTCAAAAATAAACAACTCATTTGTTTAAGCGAAATTTGATACCAGCTGATTTGATAAAATATTGATAATTAACGGTTCTACCTGCAGTTCTGAATAGTGAGTTATTAAGTGTCTCAAATGATTTTTATTTTATGTTTATTACTCTTAATGCTATTGCCGGTATTTACTTGAAATATATTTCTCATTGAATGTAAGTGAAATAAGAAACTAAAACTGAAAAAATACTATGTGTACGGAGACTTTTTTGACCGACTGTATATCAGGTGGTACGAATACCCTTTGGGAGCCGGGCCAGGCGATTCTCCCGTGAAACATTTCGTTTTTTTTTTTAATGTCGACCCTGGGAGGTTGCAGGTGCAGTACCGGAAAGTCTCCCAGCAGCTGGTGCAGAAACGGGAGCTTGGAGAGAACGTTCACGCCGTCGACTTCGACCAGCTCGAGATCGAGAACAAGAACTTCGCGGACACGATAGAGCGGAAGAACCTGCACGTGCTGGAGCTGAAGAAGATCAACGGCGGAGCGAACTTGGTGCTGAGCACGCACAAGAAGTACCTCCGCAGGCAGCAGGAGGACTACCACAAGCTGAGGGAGGAGATCGCGGACAAGCGGAAGTTGATCGAGGAGACGGAGAAGCAGGTTTCGCAGGCGGAGGAGGAAGTGAGGGCGGCTCGCGAGAGGTACGAGCAATGCCGACGTTTGCGGGATAAGTACACGGTGCCCGACGTCATGGATTACGTCAGGATCAAAGAGCGGCTGCACGAGACGGCCAAAGAGATGAAGATGTGGACGCGCAGGAGGAAAGTGCAGGACATCGCGTTGAACGCGTGCCTGAGGGAAATGAAACACGTCCAAGGGAACGTCGACCCGTCTTGGCTGGCCGAGGCCGACACGTCACGGGATGACGCGTAAATTAATAATTAATAAACAAACGTTAAAATTGAATTGGCCGTTTGCAAAATGTCTAAATTACACACCGATCTAGCGTGCGGGAAGCGTCACTTTACCACGTCACGGTCGTAGAAAAAGTATAGTATGCAACACGTTTGGTAAACTCTTTAGCTCACTCGTGAGTCAAATGCCGTCTACCGCACTTGTTGCCCAATATACTATTAACGTTCAATTTTTGTTTCTATTCAGTATTCAGCTGTGAAAAATCCGGATAAAATTTTCATCTGGGTACCGGAAAGCAAAAAACTTTGGTTCATGTCTGTAAATATCATTTCAATATAAGGTGTTTTCTAATCGAATGTCAATAATTGAAGGGACGATTCTCGGGTCCGTTTTAAAAAGAAAACTTCACGTGAACATGCGTCCCCGACATGTTTTAGTTCACCACAATTTCTTTAAAATTTACGTGCGGATGGCGTATATTAAAATAAAAATTATTCTTACATTCTCCAACCATTTCTAAAGAAATTTAATGTTTTTATTTTTTTCCAGTTAAAGAAAATAAAATTTCTCCTACATCGTCATAACATGCAGGGAATTCTTGTCATTTTTATTTCTTATTTAAATAATTGTCTATGTGTACGAAGTAACGATACCAAATACGTAAACTCCGAGGTGTATTTGTGATATCTTTAATATTATTTTTTATCATTGTAGTAGGCCGTGTGTAAGAATAATTAATTCTATTATCAAGGTGGTTGTTTAACATAATCAGGAACAGAATGTGGTTCATGCATGACGCCTTTAGAGTTGCAGCAAGAAAATATTTGAATCACATATTTAATAACCGCGGCGGACCTCATCTATGGCCCTCAGATTTAAATAGTTTGGACTTTTGCTTATGGGCCATGTTGAAAATCTGGTTTACCGCACCCAGTTAATACCGTAGAAGAGCTTCCTGCGATTTAATGAGAAACACTGGAGGTTTAGGAAACTTTAAACAACTTATAGTTTCTATATCCTACTTTTTTCAAAGAGGTTGTTGTCCATTTATTAAAATTATTTTATTTTATTAAAAATTATGATTAGCAGGGAGTGCTTTTTTAAAAAATAAAAATCCTTTATTATCCATCTCGTTGTTTTATTAAAACTGTAAACACAAAGAGAACAGTTTTTTAACTTTTTTTCTGAAGCACACTAGTTGGTAACTAAAAACTAGACATTTTGTTGTAGATGGACATTTTATTTTTCACAAAAAAGAGTTCTCGATTTAACCAGGCGACCTAATTAACCAGAATATTGTTCATTCATAGATAGTCAGTGGCACGCCACTGATTTTCCTAAAAAAAAAGATCTAGCATTTAGCATCTAGTAAAACTATTAATTAAGTATTGTTTATACTTAATAAATATTTGACTACGTATGTCTTTTTTTAAATGGGTGGTAAAAAAATAACGAAACCTCACGTGATTCGTCACATTTTACAATCAATCAGTATTTTATGTGTTATTTCAATGTCTGTATACGTGCGCCTATATCGAAATTCAATACAGCATTACTCAAATTAATATATTTTGGGAAATTTTCCCTTCCATGGGGACTTCCTTCTGATGACATCTTAGAATTTTAATTGTTTTTAAAAGATTTTATTTTTTGGGACGAGTCGGATGAGCAAAAGCGAAGGTATTGAAGTAATGATTGTCTGGTGTATCGACAACGTACGTCTAGTTCTCGGAGATAATAATATTCTTTTAAAGGCTCGTTTTAGAGACAATGGAGGTGTTAACTGACTAGAAATCCGGACGGATTGATTACCGCCGCTCGCGATGCTGTCATAAACGTTCTGTGTAATATGTCCAAACGTTTGCGCGCTGCTGTCGAGCTTTCTGTGAAGGTGCACTTTAGTCCGCGTCGAAATGTGCCCGGCCTATCGTCCGCTTTGTGTGAGCTTGTCCACGTGTTTGTATAGTCCGCGTCAATCTTCGTCGTGCTGCCATCTACCCGTAATTACGGAACTTACCTGAAGACGGCCATAAAACTCTGGTCCCGTAAGTATTAACGAAGTTTTATTGACACTCGATTAGAAAACACCCTGTATAATTGCAGTTATATCGTACACAATACGACACAATGTATTCATATATTTTTTGTCATTATTGTAGCATTATTATAGTTATAACCATGACTATTTATCGTGGGGTATTATATAGGATTACGTCATCACCTTAGAACTCCCAATGGTTTATTTCGTTGATTTTGATTTGCTTGGTGCCTATTTTCTAATTTCGACCTTAAAGTGGAGGTTTCCGACGGCGCAAGAGTGAAATTAACGCTCTTTCAAAACGCACCAAAAGTGAGGTTGGAATAGTTGCGTTGCCACTTGATCATTGGATAATCTTTTAATAGTTCTATTGGGTCGTTGTCCACCATCTTCAGGCATGTTGTGCATCTTCTCCCGACAATTCTAAGCAGTTTTGTATGAATATGGTTAGTTTTTGTTAGTTTAGTTAGAACTAATTGACGGCCATTGTTTTTTCTCTCCAGTAATTGAGTAGTAAGTAATTCAGCTTCCATTTCTTAATTGGTCAACCAGCAAAATTTACTAGAATTTCCGCGAATGTCGACAGAAAAGAAAAACAAATTGATTTAACATTTTTTTTTTAAAAACGTTAATACCCCCTGAAAATATTCGTATTTCGAATTTTACTAGTATAAAAATAGAGCGCGCAAATAATCGGCATCCCAAGAGCGGCGGAATGGGGGGGAGGGGGGGCAGACGTTGCGACAAATGGTATCGTGAGAAACGGGCCTCGAGTTCAACAGCACGCGAATATAATGTCGTCACGTTGCGGCGAGAGCGCAGAAAAAATCACCCAAAAAAACTGGTTCCGTTTCTTGAACGATGCTTACGTGAAACATAAAACTTATACGTGGTACTTATGGATAATTACTTCATTTCTTTTGGGAGTACCGGTTGCTGTTCCGTCGTCGTCGCAGGTACACGTTCCTGTTTAAACGGCTACACCTGCGCGTTGCTCAAGATGGCGGACGCAAAAAAAAACTCCGGAGGAAAGTGAACTATCTGCTTCCAGTTAGGGAAAAAATGTTTGCAGGAGTCGACTAGTGCCTGAATTAATTATTCCAGTGACGATAGCGATTGTTTTGATGTAAAATGACTTTTTTTATAAATGTTCTAACATTGTTTTATAATTATATTTACGCCTTCATTTAAATTTATAATAAACATTTTAACTTTCTCTCTGCATGGACTAATAATTACCGATGAAACTCTACACAAATCCGTCAGCGCTCGGCATTTTCATTCTCAAAGCACTAAAGTAAGTCATTGTGGAATTACGATTCTATTTATTGATTCTATTTAACGAGGTAAGCTGTGGTTCGACCATCATAAAAATTTACCAAAGTCGAATACCGGATTATGTCGTAAAAACGGTATAGCGTATTGAGGTGGATGGCGGCCCATCCCAACATTTGATTTGAGGTTTTTGTTTTATTGCTATTTCAAAAAAAAAAGCTATCCTTCCAAAGTCTTCTTTTTTTTCTCGATGTTATATGGTAGACCGTTCCGATGCCGCTTGTAGTATCGGGAATTCGCGTGTAACTGCAACCGTTTGGACAGAAAAACTTGTCCGACGCATCCCGGGGCGGAATTTGGAATTAAGGCCCGAGTCGACCGCTTTTTGACTGGCCGCTACCCGTTTCGTCCGAGTCGTTTGTTTAATGACGCGAACGATGATGATTGACGGTCGCGACGAGGCAAAAACCGCGACGCCTCTCCGGCGTTGCCATACATGTTATTTTCCAGAACAGCATAACGGTAATGAAGAACAATGAGAACAAGAGAACAAGAAAAACCGAAGGCCAGCGAACGGAAAATAAATAAGGGATATATTCACAGACCACTAAGTCAATTGGGCAAGTTAAAAACAAGATTGCTTTCGAAAAATCGTCACTGGGCGGGGCTAATTGTATTTTAAAAAAGAAGTGGCTTGGCGTTTTGGCGGAACTTTTGCAAAATCGATGTAATTATATTGTATTATTGTGTTATATTTCAACGTCACGACAAACTTTGATAACTATAAAAAATTGTATAAGTAATAACGATTTACAATTATAGTATTCCAAGTATCTCGCGCTGTATGAAAGAAGAAACCTGAAACTCTCTCTCGACACAATATTCGAGACTGTTTAAACCAAATTATCCCACGATTTAGAGTTTTTTTTACCCATAATTAACAGACCCTGTACATAATACACGTTTCCTTTCCCTACCAATTTTTCCAAAATAGTAAATGGTTTTCGAGAAAATAAGTTTTTTCTGAAACCATGCAGTGCGCCATAATAATCAATGACATCATCGCGCCTTGACTGAGCCCCCGAAATAGCGATTTTAATATGGATTTTTTTAAATATCCCGAGCAACGTATGTGATAGACGAAAACCGCAAATACAGAATTGTAGCTCTTGATGCGGCCTATGACACTGTTTGAACCGATTAGCCATATTTTTTACGATCTGTGGTTAATAATTTACTCTGTAACAGAACAATTTTTTAGGTCTTTTAGATTTTTGCGTATAATTTCAAAACCCTGTATATAATCGAAAAAATGATTGAAATAAATGTTATTTATTTAACATTTTTCAGTTTTTTTGCATTTGCGGCGGACATAGTATATTTTTGAAAAATTGTCAAGAATAAAAGTTTATGGAGTATCTTCTGCGTCTTTTGGTTCACGAATTTTTTTGAATCAACTTAATATGCAACAAAAGGTGACTTTTGGCAATATGTCATATTTAGTGATGAAAAGAAATTCAATCTTGATGGTCCCGATGGATGGAAATATTATTGGCATGATTTGAGATTTGATAGAAAAATGATGTCTCCCATGGAGTCCGTCTGGGGGATATTAACAAGGAAATTATATGATTGTATGAAATGATATGTTGTAATTTAATAAAAAAATTAATAAGGGATGATACTTCCTAGAGACCGCAATATATATATATATATATATATATATATATATATATATATATATATATATATATATATATATATATATATATATATATATATATATGTGTGTGTGTGTGTGTGTGTGTGTGTGTGTGTGTGTGTGTGTGTGTGTGTGTGTGTGTGTGTGTGTGTGTGTGTGTGTGTGTGTGTGTGTGTGTGTGTGTGTGTGTGTGTGTGTGTGTGTGTGTGTGTGTGTGTGTGTGTGTGTGTGTGTGTGTGTGTGTGTGTGTGTGTGTGTGTGTGTGTGTGTGTGTGTGTGTGTGTGTGTGTGTGTGTGTGTGTGTGTGTGTGTGTGTGTGTGTGTGTGTGTGTGTGTGTGTGTGTGTGTGTGTGTGTGTGTGTGTGTGTGTGTGTGTGTGTGTGTGTGTGTGTGTGTGTGTGTGTGTGTGTGTGTGTGTGTGTGTGTGTGTGTGTGTGTGTGTGTGTGTGTGTGTGTGTGTGTGTGTGTGTGTGTGTGTGTGTGTGTGTGTGTGTGTGTGTGTGTGTGTGTGTGTGTGTGTGTGTGTGTGTGTGTGTGTGTGTGTGTGTGTGTGTGTGTGTGTGTGTGTGTGTGTGTGTGTGTGTGTGTGTGTGTGTGTGTGTGTGTGTGTGTGTGTGTGTGTGTGTGTGTGTGTGTGTGTGTGTGTGTGTGTGTGTGTGTGTGTGTGTGTGTGTGTGTGTGTGTGTGTGTGTGTGTGTGTGTGTGTGTGTGTGTGTGTGTGTGTGTGTGTGTGTGTGTGTGTGTGTGTGTGTGTGTGTGTGTGTGTGTGTGTGTGTGTGTGTGTGTGTGTGTGTGTGTGTGTGTGTGTGTGTGTGTGTGTGTGTGTGTGTGTGTGTGTGTGTGTGTGTGTGTGTGTGTGTGTGTGTGTGTGTGTGGGTGCGTGCGTGCGTGCGTGCGTGCGTGCGTGCGTGCGTGCGTGCGTGCGTGCGTGCGTGCGTGCGTGCGTGCGTGCGTGCGTGCGTGCGTGCGTGCGTGCGTGCGTGCGTGCGTGCGTGCGTGCGTGCGTGCGTGCGTGCGTGCGTGCGTGCGTGCGTGCGTGCGTGCGTGCGTGCGTGCGTGCGTGCGTG